GAAATGCTATAGTAATACTATAAATCTGAGGATGCATTTGATATCATGCATAAGTCGCCATGATTTCCGCAATGAATGAGTTTTGTTTACTACACACATACTAAAGCGCGGATGACGCTCGCGGTGTTTTCAGCTTCTGCCGTCTCACTATATGATGATATGAACACGAATGTCATCTCCAGCTGCTCTGAGAGTCTCTTCATTAGCATTTACCGTTTCATTTGAGAAAACTACCGTCATATCGCATACACAGCAGCTGCAAGTTTTTCACAGCAACCCGTCAAAATAAAAGTTTAGTTTAACGTTAAACTGTCAGAATATATTACTATTTAGCAGTCTGAAGACTCAATGCTACTACTGCTAATAAATATTAATAACTCTTTCTTTTTAAAGGAATAATCACATCAGTTTTCTTTTTAATTTTAACAGTAAACCTCTGTTGTGCAGCGCTTTGTTTGCCAAAAAAATAAAAGGGTTTCATTTTCATTATAAATTAAATGAATGTTTTATGCCTTCATCTGATTACAAGAAAAATTAAGAAAATTTTATAGGGCCCTACTATTGTTTAAAAAGGACCCCCCCCCCCCAAAAAAAATAATAGGTTTAAAATACAGGTATGTGGTTCTTAATTTCTTTTTATTAATTCACTATTTGTAAACTGATGTTTACTGTTAAGTTTTTAGAAATATCAATAGCATTTGTATTAAAACTATATTCACTGAATGTAATAAAAAAAAATCAAGAATCGAAATCAAATCGAATCGGGATATCTGAATCGATATCCAGCCCTATTTGGTTGATACAACATTCCAGTTGCGCTAAAATACCCAGTATATTAGCACAGCCACCAATCAACCTTTGTTTATTTGTCAGAAACTAGATGTTCTAGTGGGATGATGACACTTAATGAATTAATGAAAATAGTGCTTTATTGTCAATTTTAATTCTTTTATAGAACTTAAAATTTTTTGGTCGGTAAAAATTTTTTTTTACGTTTCTGAAAGAAGTCTCTTTACTCACCAAGCCTTATTTATTTAAGTAAAAACAGTAATATTGTGAAATACAATTTTTGAATATATTGTAAAATGTAATTTATTCCTGTGATGTAATTCTGAATTTTTAGCATCATTACTCCAGTCTTCATTGTTACGTGATCCTTCAGAAATCATTCAAATATGCTGATCTGCTGCTCAAGAAACATTTCTAATTATTATCGACACACAGTTGCACTGCTTAATATTTTTGTGGTAACTGTGATATATTTTTTCAGTATTCTCTGATGAATAGAACATTCAAAATAACAGCATTAACATAACATATAAATATATTGCTGTAATTTTTGATCTGTTGAATTCATCCTTGCTGAATAGAAGTATTAATTTCTTTAAAAAATCTTTCTGGCCCTAAACATTTAAACAGTAGTGTACACTGGGAGCATGATTTTATATGAATGCATTAACCATTAACAGTCTAATAAACTGTCTGACTTGGTGCAAGAATATTTGTGATGAGCATCTCTCTCTTTCTCTCTCAGCTCCTGAACAGTGTAAGTCACTGTGAAGAGAAATTAGGATTTACATATGAGGAAATCATCATTTGGTAAGTAGAACTATATCTTACTGTGTTCCAAAACCTAGTGAGCTTGTTTCTGACTACATACTGTAGACAGCTGCCTTCTGAGATTACATCCCAAACATCATGGAATCTCACTGATGACTGATTTGTAGTGCTCTTCTTGTGTTTTTCATTCTCTCTTTATCGTTTTAGTCTGCGTGTAGCGTTGTTGAATGAGGTGAAGGAGGTTCGGGCTGCAGGTTTGAGAGCACTAAGGTATCTGATCCATAATAGTAGCGTCCTCCAGAAAGTTCTTCAGCTGCAGGTGGATTACCTGGTCTCCAGGTGAGTTCTCACACCTGTTTTGTGTCCTCAGCAGTGTTGGGGGTAACGCATTACAAGTAACGCGAGTTACGTAATCAGATTACTTTTTTCAAGAAACTAGTAAAGTAACGCATTACTTTTTAATTTACAAGAGAATATCTGAGTTACTAAGTAACGCAAGTTACTTTTTTTCTTCCAATTTATTGATTGGCAGCTCTCCTGTCCCCATGTTGAGAGAAATCAGAAGATGTTACTGTAGTTCTAAAATAAATATGAATGTGCATGAATTCATCTCACTCACAAAAAAAAAAACACCGATTCAGTATTCCTCAAAATTAATAAAAAAAGAATATGACGCAAACCTGCAATAATTAAATGTTAAACAACACAAATATTCTTTATGTATTTAATCCCATTCTATTAACCAATGCCTTTGCTTCTGACCTTCGATGATCCAGTTCAACCGTACTAATAAGCACAAATTACTCTAAACAAACATTTGTGTCTTTTTTTTTATTGCTGAAGTGTGTTGAAATGTCTTCTTCTGCATTCTACTGTACTTTCCCTTCAGCCTGAGGCTTATTTAGTGTGAAAAGACTTTTATATATTTGCCAAAAATATAACTTTTTTTTATTTTAAAAACAAACAAGCAAGCCCTGTCCAGATTTAAAAAGTAACACAAAAGTAACGTAATGCATTACTTTTAAAAGTAACTTTCCTCAACACTGGTCCTCAGTGTTTTACAATTTCATTAGGTTTAAAAGTAATAATATTGATTTGACCACAATAATTGATACAATCAGATGAAAGCAAAACTTGAACCAAATTGAGCTGAATGAAGCCAAATATTGCCAAATTGAATTTGTTTCATAATTGACAAATTTTGCAACATCAACAGTGTTATTGAACTGAAATGAATCAACACTGAAATGACTTGAGCCGAGTAACGTTACTACTGCCTTCATCAGAGCTGCTTTTAAATTAACTTGTTTCATTGCACTGGACAATGACACTATTGTCATGGAGATGACTTTTTTAGAGTTGCTTTACAGCAGAATTGGAATTAGTGTCATATTTGATGAAGTTTCCATCATCCTGTTTTTATACGTATTTTGAAGTATCGCATCAGAAACGAGTGAAGGAAATGCCAAATTTTGAAAAAAAAATCCTTAATTTCCTGTAAAGCTGCTTTGCAATGAATTGTATCGTGAAAAGTGCTATACAAATAAACTTGAATTGAATTGAATTAATTCGCAAAAAAGTTTTTACGCCCGCTTGAGGTGGTTTTTGACTTAAAAATATAGTGTTAATGAAATCTATGATGAAAAATGTTCGTCAATTAAGTTTTTCCCCCTGACAAAAACGAGACGATGACGAGGCGATAATAAGGTCATTAAGCGATAACTGAGACTAAATGAACATGCAGTATCATTGACAAAAAAGACGAGACTAAAATGTAGTTAAAAGAACAACAACTTTACCAAAACCTTTTTATTTTTGTTGAAAAAAGTGGAGCCAAAATATTTCAGACTGCTCTACTAGACTCTATTATGCGAGCGCTCATGTTTGCTGTTGCCAGATATCAAGAGCTCAAACCCCCCAAATCAGAGCTTTTCTATTAAACGGATACGTACTCTGCCCAGCTTTTTGCTTTATGCAATCTAAAAAGTCATGTGACTTTGCGCGATGGGACAGCATAACCTGACTAACCAGCGGACCGATCTCGTTGCACAGCATCTGAAATGTTGTCATGGTCATTCTGAAATGCCTGAGCAAAGTCTGTCGTTAAAGTATTTCTGTATAATTGCCTCCCAGAACTGTCATACATGACTGCATTCCCAAACAGCAAGCATCCAGCTCTAAAAGCAACGACCGCATTTATTGTGTTTCATCTGCTCGCTCTGAGGCGCAAGTGATTTATTATATGTGAGAATTGTTATATTCAATGGCTTCTCCTGCTTTTCTTAGTGCCAATTTATCAGGAAGAGATGTTTTTGTACTCTTTGACTCATGGATGGAAACTGTGCTTTATTCGTAAATGTTTTATGCAATATTCCAAGTTAAATTCACAGCTTTGGATGGAAACATAGCTATTGATTCTGTTATTTTCCTGTTTATTACTATAAAGCTGCTTTGAAACAACCTGCACTGTTATAGAGCTCTATAGAAATAAAAGTGGCTTTCCTTCACAAAACAAATTGATAATGTAGATGCACAACTGTCTTTTGTCATATTTCATCTGAGATTTATGAAATAATTTGCTTGCCTTCAGTGTAAAATTCAAATGTGAACATATTTGGTGGGTGAACTTGACCTTCAGCCTCAGTGTCCTGGTCAGAAAGCCTCAGATGAGATGTTTGAATGTCTCTCATGTGTTGATCTGTGTTCAGGTGTATTGACATTCAGCAAAGTAATGAGGTGGAGAGAACTCAAGCCCTCAGACTGGTCAGAAAGGTACGATCTCTAACCTCTTGCTCATTGTTTAGCACTCTTGCAATCAGTATAAGCTGTGCATGGTTTTTGATTTGGGTGAATTTCATCTCAATCTGTTATTTTCCTCGTTCAGATGATAACAGTGAACGCACAGCTCTTTCCCAGCTCTTTGACAAACTCTTTGATCGCGGTGGGGAACGATGGGCTGCAGGAGAGAGATCGCATGGTTCGAGCCTGCATCGCCATCATTTGTGAACTTGGTGAGTTAGAAGTGTTACGTTTGTTAAGACAAGCATCACTATTATTATTATTATTATTGCTCACACTTGAGGTTAGTTTTAAACTTTAGCATTTTGATTTTATCATTTTTTTTTTATATAAAATTAAATATATATATATATGCGATTTTCTCAATATTTTAATTTTCCAGATTTTCAAATAGTTGTATCTCGACCAAACATCAATGGAAAGCTTATATATTCAGCTTTGAGATGGTGTGTAAATCTCAAGGGGTAAATCTCAATCTCAAGGGGTTGAGTTTTATGATTTAGTACAAATGAATGTTTGTACTGTATGATTTTATGGATCTTATGAGATTTGAATGTATGAAAAATATCTGGTTCAATAGTTTTTTCCTTAATAATAATAATCCATGTAACGTTTTAATACATTGTTATATGATTATTATTGTTATGAGGAGCGTTGAAAAGTACATTTTACTATACAACAGTAATATATTTCTGCCATAATTTCTTTAAGTTAAACTAAATCTGTATTTTAGTTTGTAGTGAAGACCTTTTTTTGGTGCAAATGATCACTTATCAAATTGATGAAATTTATGTGGACAGACATTCACACAAAGAACATGCAAACTTTTCAGCGACATGTATCTGAGCGTCTAGATGTGGGCTAAATATTGGAAATTATTTGGAAGTTCATTATCAATATTGTAGATTTATTTTGTCAGTAAATGTCAGTATTGATTTATCGCCCAGTCTTATATTATTTTACACTATATAGGAATTTGTCGTATGCATGTATATTGTTTATATACATTTGTTTGATATGATTGTATTCTCTCGTCATCCAGCACTGAAGAACCCAGAGATTGTGGCACAGCGGGGGGGGTTGAACACCATCCTAAAGAACGTCATCGACTGCCAGCTGAGCCGCATCAACGAGGCCCTGATCACCACCATACTGCACCTGCTCAATCACCCGCACACACGCCAGTACATACGCACCGATGTTGAACTGGAGGTATGTGTACATGCAGCGGCACTGTGTGCAGTCCACATGTTCGTTGGGGAGCAGGTTTAATCTGGTTTGCATCATTCCCCATTGACTTCCTCTTCTCTGTTCTCCATATAAACTCATTAAGGATCTAAGTGAAAAAAAAAAATCGAAGTTGTCTTACAGGAGTATATGTTCTTGTTGTTTTTTTCTTTCCAGCAAATTCTCGCACCTTACACAGACTTTCACTACAGACATAACCCTGACACAGCAGAGGCACAAATCAAGTGAGTTAACTTAACAAATATGTAAAATATAATTAAAGATGTTACATTAAAAATAAGAATTAAAAATTATTTTAAATGATTGATTGATTAAATTGAGAGTTTTATTTATTCATTCATTAGACAACATTTTTGATAAGTTTGTATTTTTCAAAGTATTTTTACTTTTATTCCGTTTATTTGTTGGTGTTTATTTATTTCTATCAAAACAATATTTAAGTAAAAATATTTATTTAAAGTAATATTGAAAAACAATTTTTTTTTGTATTTTGACTTTTTAAAGACAAAATTGTTAAATGATTGTAAATATTATATTGAAAGGATATTGATTGAATTGGTTGAGTGATGTAATTAATTGTTTTTGCCATGAATATAGCCATTGCTGCTGACATGGCGATAAATAATATCAAAAAACTCAAAACATTATTTTATAAAAAATATATTAAATAATAATTTAAAATAATTATTATATTTTAATTTATTTTACATTTCAAAAGTGTTTTAAATGTTATTCTCTCTCTCTCTCTCTCTCTCTCTCTCTCTCTATATATATATATATATATATGTGTGTGTGTGTGCGTGCGTTTGTACAGTGGGTAGAGAAAAGAATCACCTCCCTTTAAAATAATCACATTTTGTTGCTTTGCAGCCTGAAATAAAAAACGGACAGAGTTTTTGTTTTATCCAGCTGTATTTACTCAGTACCCTAATAACATCCAAGTGAAAGATATAACACCAACATGTCAGAAAAAAACCAGAATCAAATCAGTTGGAAAAAGGATCACCCCCTCCTAAAAATGACTTGTAAACTCAATCAGGTGTAGCTGATCATCTTCTCAATGGCACTCAATGTCGTATGTGTTTCTGACTGTTTTATGAATCATTGTGTCCCATAGGGAAGACAGAGAAGCTCGTTTTTTATCCAGTAAAATGGCTATTGTTGCAGCCTTCCGCTCATGGTCAGGTATGAAATCTACTGCATCTTCATCTAAAGAGTAGAAAAGGGAAACGTTCTTCACTTCTGCTCTTCATCCCTCTCCTCTGCTGTTCTCCTGCAGGTATTATAAACCTGTGTAAATCAGGAAACTCAGGGGTCCAGTCTTTGATAGGCCTGCTCTGTATACCAAACATGGAAGTCAGGGTGAGTTTTAAATGCTTTTATTTATTTAGACTAACATGTGACATGTTTAAATGTTTCTTGAGCAGCATATTAGAATGATTTCTGAAGGATCATGTGATACTGACGACTGCAGTAATGATGCTGAAAATTCAGCTTTGATCACAGGAATAAATTACATTTTAAATATATTCAAAAAGAAAACAGTTATTTTAAATGGTAATATTTCACAATATTCTGTTTTTACTGTATTTTTTGATAAAATACAATATTTACCTACATATATTTTAACTAAAACATTATAATGCATTAAATTAAACAAAACATTAAGTGCATTAAATGCCGTTTCAGTGATGATTTGGAGTGTTTAAACATAGTTTTTGACCGATTTACTGAAATGGACCATTCTAAAGAGATGATTCACTGTCAATCTGTCAATGTTTTTTGTGTCTGCAGAAAGCCTTATTAGAAGTCATGTACGAGATCTTCAGATTGCCTGTTCCTATAGTGACAGGAGATTTTGAGGAAGCGCTGCACAGCGTGGGTAAGAAGCACCTTGATTCATAAACGCTTTTCATCTGATCAGAAACGCCTCACTGACTGCTGTAGAGGAGTATCTGTGAACTCTGTGCAGATCTTTGATTTGCATGTTGCTCTTTCTGTCTGGGATGTGCGCTTCATGCTAATGTTTGTGCTGTTCAGACCCCAGCAAGTTTCAGGACAGCTGGAGACTCTCTGATGGGTTTGTAGCTGCAGAAGCCAAAGTCATATTGCCTCACAGAGCACGATCCAGGTGAGACACAGAGCCTGACTGTAATACTGGAATATTCTGGGTTAAATCTTGTATTCATGTTCTTCTTTTGTCCTTCACCAGACCAGACCTCATGGACAACTACCTGGCACTACTGCTGTCTGCCTTTATCAACAGTGGACTACTGGAGGTATATAATCACAGGATCACCTGATGGGTGCTTGATTAACTTTATTAAAGGAGACATATTATGCCCCTTTTTACAATATGTAATATAAGTCTCTGGTGTCCCCAGAATGTGTCTGTGAAGTTTCAGCTCAAAATACCTCACAAATCATTTATTATATCATTTTGAAAATGCCTATTTTGAGTGGAAGCAGAAACACGCTGTTTTTCGGGCCTGTCTCTTTAAATGCGAATGAGCTGCTGCTCCCCGCCCCCTTTTCTAGAATAGAGCTGCTCCATTACAGCTCGTACCTGCTAAAAAAAAACATCTGTTTTGGTTCTCATTATCATGTTTATCGCACTGAAATCATGCGTTTTAAACCATATGAGTTTAAACTTCTGATATACTATTTTCTGAGCGCACACATCTGAAGCACATGACAGAAAGCGGCTGTCACAGCATGCGAGCACTAAACTAAGTTCTCTTTCAAACACAAGTTTACGTTAAAAACACACGAGTTACAAAAAACAGTGGGTTATGTCTGTGAAGGTAAACAGCTGGGAAATAAATCGCATGTTTATTTTAGATCTGTGTGGCAGCAGCAATATACATTCAATAAATCAATAAATTCACTGCTTTCTTGTCTCCTCTGAAGCTGGGACTAAATAGTGTTCTGTGCTCGTCTGTGCAGCCAAAGACAGAACAGTTAGCATGTTTTGCTCAAACTTTCGCCATGGCATTAGAACTGGTACACCGTTGTCGCTTGCGAAAACACAATAATGGCGCCGTGGGTGTAAACTTACAGATTAAGGGGCGGTAATATTATAATGAGATCCCTTTGCCACGTCACCAAGGGAGCCAAATCAGACGCGCTCGTTTTCTCAGACGCTTGCAGAAAAAGGCTTCCCAAAACAAAGTGACTGGGTTAATCTTTTTCACCTTGGTTGGTAGATGCACTGGGGACCTGATTGTAGCACTTAAAACCTGGAAAAGTCAGATTTTCATGATATGTCACCTTTAACTTTATTGGAATGGATCTGTGATGTTTCAAATGATAATGTTTTTGTTTGCTCAGGGTCTGGTGGAGGTGGTGACCAGCAGTGATGGACTGATATCAGTGAGAGCCACCATACTGCTTGGGGAACTTCTGCATATGGTACTGCATTACTTCAGACCTGTAAACGGGGCCCAAAATGACCTTTTTACACTCCATAAATATTTATTATGGGGCCATGAACTTGTGTTATGTAATATTTATTATTAGGCAGCTTATTGTGTTTTTATAAATTGTTCACAAATGTAGTTTTATTTTCATAAAAGCTCTAAATTGCTCATAAAACTTTTATTTATGCAACATTGTAACAATTCTTCTCATTTAGGTGGTGTTAGTGAACAACGTTGATTTATTTTCTTTATGGTAGCAGTGTTGTTATTGTTAACTAAAACGAAAATGAAAACTACTAAACAAAATTTGGTAACTGACAAAGCTGAATAAAACATAAATCTTAAAAATGTATATTTTAAAGGGGTCATATGATGCGATTTCAATTTTTCCTTTCTCTTTGGAGTGTTACAAGCTCTTGGTGCATAAAGAAGATCTGTAAAGTTGCAAAGACTAAAGTCTCAAATCCAAAGAGATATTCTTTATAAAAGTTAAGAGTCAACCACGCCCTCCTAAAACGCCTCGTTCTAACACGCCCCCACATGAAACTACTTTGTTTGGCCTTCCAAAAGAGGACGATATCCGCTTCGTCATGCCTGGAGCTGATCCGTGCTGGTCGCTGAGGAAATACATCAACTTTGCGCTGTGGATCGCCGGATCGGCTTTCACCGTGGATGAAGCAGAGTCCAGCCCGGGGTCGTCACATGTGGTTGCTGCAAGCCCGCCGGACGCTCCTTCGTCGAATTTGCCGGCCACGCCGTTCTCAAGCGTAACATTTCCGTCACACGCTTGAGGTATTCGGCCAATCACAATGCACTGGATAGCTGGCCAATCAGCGTAAACCTCGCTTTTCAGACCGATGAGCTTTGTAAAAATCAACGCGTTTCAGAAAGGCGGGGCATAGAGGAGAAACAATAATGTACAGTATGTGGAAAATAATGTGTTTTTTTTAAACCTTAAACCGCATAAACACATTTCATTACACCAAATACAGAAAATGTTCTTTTTAGCAACATCATATGACCCCTTTAAATATAAATTATAATATTACTAAAACTTAAATGACCATTAAAATTGTTGCGTTGGCAACTAACTTAAAGAAAATAAGTTTAAGCTGAATAACTAAAATGACTAAAACTAAAACTGAAATAAAAATCCATTAAAGCTAACTAGAAATAAAAACAAAATTAATAAAAATTAAAAGCTGAAAATAGAAAAGCTAATTCAAAATTAGTAATAAATGCTATTTTATTTAAATAATACTAAAATAACACTTTATGAAAAAATAACAATGCAGAAAATCTTTAATGATCCTAAAACTTCTTTCTTATATTAACTTTTGACCATAAATTAAAATGAGAAAAAAAATGTAAAAGTTGTTGGAAGATGCACCATAGTCACTGATCTGTTATTTAGTAAACCATTTGGATTACATTTTGTTTTGCATTTTGATTGAAACCATATATTATGTTGCAATTGTAAAAATGTATATTTGTTTACTTGCCGAAGTTAGTTCTCTCTTGCGTTTGTCACTTGACGAGTACATTTTAGACACACATTTGGTCTGCTGTATAATTTTCCCTTTTAGCCTTTATTTTTGGACCTAAAATGTCACATTTCTTCACCTGTGTCTTCATAATAGTTCTTCTCTCTTCCAGGCCAATACGATTCTTCCTCACTCTCACAGTCATCATCTGCACTGTCTGCCCACGCTAATCAACATGGCTGCTTCCTTTGACATCTCTCAGGAGAAACGGCTGTGAGTGCAACGATGCAAACGCACACACAATCAAGAATCCGTAAGCAAGTGTCTAACAGCATTCTGCACTATCAGGCGATGCATTTTTTTCTTTTGAATCTTGTGTTTTCCAGACATGCCAGTGCAGCTGTGAACCACCTGAAGCGTTTCCACGAAAAGAAACGTCATGGCTCCAAACCTTACAGTCTTTACCTGGATCACATCCTGCGCAGGACGTCCAACTCCACTCACAAGAGAGAGCAGCACCAGCGTCCACAGAAGGACATCTATGTTATGAAGGTACACGCACTATCACTATATCCAGATCATTTCACCCCAAAATCAAAAGAAAGAAAGAAGAAACTAGATTTTGTTTTAAGAAAATGTTGCCTAATTTAGGACCATTCAGTTTTTTTGAGTTGTCACATGATTTTAAAGAGACACAGCCACATCTCAAATCAGACTCTCATTACTGTAATGTGAAAAAAAAGACATTTGTTGTACTAGCTTGAGTTTTTACCGATTTAAAAAATTATATTATTTGTATTTAATTAAATTGATTTATTACATGTAACATTCTGTTAAATTAATTGCATTAATTAACATTTAAGTACATTAAGATGAATCACCTTTGACTAATTAGAATTAAACATTTAAAACATACAGATGCATTATAATATTGACAGTTTGTGGCTCAAAATATGCTTACTTGTCATGATAATTATATCACAATGTAAAAAATGTTTTATTTAAATGTATTTGTTTATTTAATGATTCTATCAATAGGCTTCATTTATTTATGAAAAAAAAAATATATATATATATATATATTTATTTTATTTATTTTTTTGTGGGGGGTTTATGACCTGGACATGTTTTTGGTGAAATTCATGCACTGTATATATTTAATAATTTCCTGTAATAAGGTACAACAGAAGTTTCTGAGTTGTTTGTGTGCTGTAGGACACTGAAGAGGCGCTGATGATGAACTTGAGGGACAGTCAGATCCTCAATCACAAACAGAACCTGGACTGGAACTGGGTTCTGATCATCACTATACTGAAGGTAAAAGAGAAACCGGCCCAACTCACTCTTCCTGATAGAATGGTATCGTAATGCTTACTACATACTGTAAAGTATACTGTCTACTGCCTACTATTTTTGAAAAATAGTATGTAAAACCGTAATGATGAACAAATTATAATTTCGTAGAGAAGAATGCTAAATTGTTGTTACTTGAAGTTACTACATTGCGTGTTTACTTCAGGAAATTACAATCTTTAATTCCTGAAATAACATATTTTGTATTGTTAATGAAATTTCATGTAAAAATGTCTCATCTTTGTAGCAGTTACTGTATGAGTGAAAAAGTGAGACTTACATACTGCATATTTCAGAAATTGCATGTAGTATGGTAATGTGCTGTTACAAACAGAGCAATACAGTCACCTCTGACACTTTTAAAAGTCTGAATCTCAGTGCATTAAATAAAATATCAAACCAAGTGGCATTTATTTAAAGAAAGAAAGGTAATGCCATTTTAAGCAAAAAGGCAAGGCAGTTTTAAGGCAATTATAAGCAAAAACATTTAATCAAAATTCGTTTTTTTTAATGTTTGTTTTATAAAGTAATCCATACTTCTATTCAGCAAATCCCAACAGTTTTCAACATTGAAATTAATAAATGTATCTTGAGCAGCAAATCAGCATATTAGAATGATTTCTGAAGGATCATGTGACACTGAAGACTGGAATAATGATGCTGAAAATCATCATCACAGGAATAAATTCGATTTTAAAATACATTCAAATAGAAAACAACTATTTTAAGTTGTTGTAATATTTCACAATATTACAGTTTTTACTGAATTGTGATCAAATAAATGCAGCCTTGGTGAGCATAAGAGACTTCTTTAAGAAGCATTAAGAAAATCTTATTGTGTTGTTTTTCCTTTCTAGTGGCCAAATGTGAACCTCAGAAACAACAAGGACGAGCAGATGCACAAGTAAGACCAGCATGTGCTGACCTATCATGAACATCATGTGCTGCAGTTTCTTGAGAAGCACTAACTACAGACTACATCTCTAACCTCTGTGTTTGTTTGTATGTAGGTTTGTAAGGAGGTTGCTGTATTTCTATAAGCCCAGCAGTAAGCTGTACTCGGCTCTGGAGCTGGATCACGCCAAAGCCAGACAACTGACGGTAGCGGGCTGCCAGTTCAACCAGTTCCTCTTGGATTCAGATGAGGTGAGAAATGAAGACCTTTGAGCCTTTGCTAAATTACACCAAAATAAGCACAACAGTAGTTAACTTGGTTAATGTTCTTCTGTTTTTGTAGGACGGTCAGGTGTATCTAGAGGAGCTCGTGAAGGATATCGTCCAGTGGCTCACATCCTCTTCTGGGCTTAAATCTGAACGCAGTCTCCATAGCAACGGCCTCCTCAGCACCCTCAGTCAGCACTACTTCCTGTTTCTGGGTACTCTCTCTGCACAGCCGGCTGGAGTCAAAATGCTGGAGAAATGTGGCGTATTTCAGTGGTGAGAACACACACAATTTAATGTTTAGTTTCCCAGTAAACTTTATTATTCTGGCATATGAAAAAGTACTGATAACAACATTCATAATAAATGTACCACAGTACCATGTTCAGAAAAAAAAACATACCTTACAAAAATGTAGTGTTCCAGCAAAACTTGAACATTTGCCACAAATAGATTTCCACTGTTATTAACATTGAAAAATTTAGGAAAGGTATTTCTATTTTCATTTTTAACTTTACTTTGTGTTAACTGTGTTTGGTTTTGATTTGTTTTGTGCAGTCTGTTGAGCTTGTGCTCGATGAAAAACCAGGATCACCTGCTGAAACTAACGGTCTCCACTCTGGACTACAGCAGAGACGGACTCGCGCGAGTCATCCTGTCCAAGATCCTTACGGCGGCCACTGACGTAAGATCACATTAATGACATTTCTGAGAGTGTGATTTGAGCAGGGTTGTTATAGTTAACCGAATCTAAAGCCATAACCCTTTTCGTTGCTTGAAATAAAATAAACCTTAGCTGAAATGGAATAAAATACATTTAAAAAATATTCAGCTAGTTACCAAGACATCTTTTCTCATTTGTATTTAGTTTAACTTGATTAACTACTGTAAAATAACTAAAACTTAAATAAAACGAAATAAAAACAATTTAAGAGTCGATATATGGCAGATAACGGTGATATCCATCCTATAAGATTCTTGTAAAACCTTCTCAAGTGCTTCTGACTGTATAGTTGAATATCGATTGATATCAGATGAACTTTGTAGCAATTCTCCCTGTTTGTATTGTTACAGAACTGCCGTATGTACGCCACCAAACACCTGCGTGTGCTGCTGCGCGCTAACGTTGAGTTCTTCCGTAACTGGGGGATGGAGTTGTTAGTCACACAGCTGCATGACCACAACAAAACTGTTTCCATGGAGGCCCTGGACATCCTGGACGAAGCCTGTGAAGAGAAGGTAATCAGCATCACCGCTGCAGCAAGTTGAGGATGACATGCAGATCATTAGTTCATGTAGTTTCAGATATGAATATATATGATGAATGTCTAAATATTTTGGTAATGATATGTTAAGCATTAAATAATGTAATACTTTGGTAATTTTATAAAATATTGCCCACGATACTGATTGATTTGTTTCAGTTAAATGTGTTTCTTACAGCAAGTCTAATGCTCTTTAATTCTGCTGTGTTGTGATCACTCCAGGCCAGCCTGCACGCTCTGATCCACATGAAACCAGCTCTGTCTCACCTGGGAGAGAAAGGCCTTCTGCTGCTGTTGAGGTAAAACAGTCTTGCTTTTCAGTTTAAGTGTGTTTGCTACATGAATGTATCGCTTAAAAAGAAACATTTTAGCTAGTTTCTCAAACTGGGGTTCATGAGTGAACTGCAGAGGATTTGTTGATGATAAAAAAAAAACATTTTAAATAATACAATTCTGAAATGTGTTTTGTGTATTTACATTTTTTTATGAAGTTATTGAGCAGTCATACATAAAGACAATATCTGAATCTGTTAAAGGTATAACATTAAATATTTAAATAAGCTCATACGTTGTTGTACTCCTCGTTTGTAAGTCATCTGCTAAAAGAATAAATGTAATGTGCTAAATGTCTCTCTGCTCTCCTCTGTAGGTTCCTGTCCATCCCAAAGGGCTTCTCTTACCTCAATGAAAGAGGCTACGTCAACAAACAGCTCGATAAATGGCAGAAGGTGAAAGCATCAAAGCAGTGACTCTTTCTCAACCTGTGGTTTGACGCCTGTGTCTGTTTCTCTTGAATGTAGATGTATTGAGCCGTGTGTGTTTTTGCAGGAGTATAATCTGAAGTATGTGGACATGATTGAGGAGCAGTTGAATGAAGCTCTTACAACATACCGCAAACCTGTTAATGGAGACAACTACGTCCGCCGCAGCAACCAAAGGTCTTAGCACTCCTTGATAAAGGGCTTGTGATTAAAGAAGTCAGTTATTAATATATTAGCAAATTACTAATACTATTGCGCATACTTAAAGGGATAGTTCACCCGAAATGAAAATTGTCATCATTTACTCATCCTCAAGTTGTTCCAAATCTGTATGCGTTTCTGATATTCTGAAGATATTCTGAAGAACAATTGATGGTTGCCATTGACTTGCATAGTATAGAAAAAAATACTATGGAAGTCAATGGCTACCATCAACTGTGTGGTTAACAACATTCTTCAGAATGTTTTCTTTCATGTCCAGCAGAAGAAAGAGACTCAATGAGGAATAGAAAAATAAAAATTTTAAGTTTTGGTTGAACTATCCCTTCAACGTTAGTGATTTGAACAAGTCCTTGACCCTAGGCATGAATTAAAGGGGGTCATATGGTGCTGCTAAAAAAACATAATTTTGTGTATTTGGTATAATGAAATGTGTTTATGCGGTTTAAGGTTCAAAAAACATTATTTTCCACATACTGTACATTATTGTTTCTCCTCTATGCCCCGCCGTTCTGAA